TTGGTGCCGATATTTCCTCAAACCCCCTTCAGCACCTGTTATGTTCTCTGAATATTAGGGATGTGCATGGGAAAAATATTCAGTTCAGTTCGGCATTCCGAAATTCGGGACTTCGGCACGGTTCGGCACTTCGGGAAAGTGTAGGGTTAGGGGTAGGGTTGAGTTAGGGGTAGGGTAGGGTTGGTCTAGGAGTAGGGTTAGAGGTACGGTTAGGGTAGGGCTAGTGGTAGGGTTAGGAGTAGTGTTAGGGTAGGGGTAGGGTTAGGAATATGGTAGGGTTAGGTTAAGGGTTGAGTTAGGAGAAGGGTATGGGTTAGGAGCAGGATTATGGTAGAGTTAGGGGTAAGATTAGGGTTAGGGCAGGGTTAGGGGTACAGTTAGGCTTACCCTACCCTAACCCTACCCCAACCCTCTCCTGTTTTACCACTTTTCAGAAATCTGAAGCACCTCGGCACTTCCGAAATTCGGCAATTCGGTTCGTTTTGGCAATCTGAAATTCAGTACTTCCGAATTTCAGACATTCGAAAGCATCCGAATGTCTGAATTTCCCAAATTCGTCCAAATTTGCATTCGGAACAAAATGAATTGCACATGTCTACTGCATATACTTGATATGATTTGTTGTATTTCAAACCATGTACAGTGTATGTGATTGGCGGTTGGGTGATTTTATTATGTGTATATAAGAGTGTGTCTTCTTTTTCCGTCTTTTTATAAAAAGTGCAGATTTCAATAGAAATTGGCACTTTTATAAATACATCGTGTCACACCCCCTGGCTGTCAATCAGGCAATCAGTCCTGTTACTTCCTGGTTTGTTTAGCTCAGTGAAGATAAACTCAAGAGGCAGAAATTGCCCAGAGCACCTGCCTTGCAAAGACTTCTCATTGAACTTCAATGGGATGTCTGTGATTGGACAGCCACAGAAAGTCTGGGCGGGGTTAGAAGGGAAGGGTTTGTAAAGGCTGCAGATAAGTGCTCAAGCAGTTTTTTTATGTTTTAAATATATACCCCCAGTGCGAAAAAAGCATAATTAAATGCATGCATATTTAATTCAGGGAATCTCTCTTAAACAGTGATATTTATTTTGTGTTTGGGCAGTGGAGTGCCCCTTTAAGCAGCCAATCGATTCATCTGAACAGATCACCTGCAGTGCAATGGGTTTCTGTTTCACATGAAATAATACGATGCACACAAACAAAAAAAACAAAAAAAATTATATTAAAAAAAATGTTGCACATTTCAAATTGCAACGACCCCCTTGGTCTTTGTAACGTCTAACTGAAAGGGTTAATATAGAGCTTACTTGTCATGGCTCTTTAATGTCACTTTTACAAAACCACAGAATATAGAGGCTTTTGGGGAAGGGCTGGGGGGGGGGGAGAGAGTAACAATCCAGAAATGGTTTTATTAAGTTGTGGTCCAAAAAACAATTAAAAAGCCACCAATGACCACAAGTAGTGTGATTCGGCTCAATCAAAGCCACACATTATATAAAGTCAGAATTTACAGGAAACCCACATTATAAAAGCTTTTTACACAGTGTAAGGAAAGGCTTGGGCAGATGACTTCAGTTTTGAAATAAAGCAGGGTCCCTTTTCCATGACAGAAAGTTATTCAAAACGTAGAAACTGATTGACTCGCCCTGTCAGAAAACAGATTTGTTAAGAATGATGTGAAAGTATAAAAACTCAGGAAACAAATTCAGTAGATTCTACTCCAGGCTCCGATTTGCACAATGGTTTGGAGAAACATTCAATCCTTAGCAGGAAAAAAATGACTCTTGTGGTTGTGGTGGTGAGGTCAGCACCATGAATGAGATGGAAAAAGGTAAGACTGTAAGCCAAAATGATAAGTTCAATATTTAAATGGAAGCAAACACAGAACTGGGACCCATGGCCACAGAACACCCACGGAATGAAATACTGATTATGAACAATGACGTAGACATTCTAACTGCAAGTCAGTCAACATTCATTAAATAGAATGTAACCGTACGTTAGTCAAATGGCATCTCACGTTCTTAAACTCAAACTTTTTAAAACAGAGCTTCTCATCTTGCCTTCAAAAGCAGCCACTCCTGTATCGATCTCCCTTCAAGTCAATGACGCAATAATTAGCTATACCTCACAGGCTTGCGGCCTTGGCGTTTTCTTTGATTACAACCTCTTCTTTATCCTTCACATCCAGCCAATCGCTAAATCCGGTCACTTCCATCTCAAAAAGCATAACTCGCTGGTCTTACACGCTCCAAGCTTGCTCATTATAGTCTATAAGCAGGGCCGCATTAAGAGCCCAGTGGGCCTGGTGCTGACAATTATTATGGACCTAATTCTAGAATCGTATCGACAGAAAACACTAAACCAGTTATGAGTGAGGGAAACTCACAATATATAGCTTCCAGAAAAAAAACCTGTCCTATGCCAATCTCTCAATTCATATCCCCTAGGGCCAGATTAACATAGTAGCTGATGGTGCTGCAGCTCCAGGCCCATGGAATTGGCCTATTGATTCTTTTTTTTTTTTTCCAAGTACTTTTTTTTGACATAGCCAGTATTTGAGGCTGCCTGGTCAGTGCCGGTATTGCAGTAATACAGGAAATACAAATGCTGGTGGTTTTCTCAGTATTAAACGGAGATTAATCTGCAATACCGGCGACGGACAGTAGAGGTCGCTGTGTGTGGAGAGAGGCAGGGATAGGAAGTTACAGCGTATCCCTGCCTCTCTTTACTCACTTATCTGTGGGGGAGCAGCTACACAGCACAGAGTCCAGATAGCAGCCCCAGCCTGCAGAGACAGACCACAGCTCAGTTAAGTGAGGGGTTGGGAGAAAGGCTGCAGGGAGAGATGAGGACACAGACACAAAGGGACACGGGAAGACATGGGAACATTGGGACACTAAGGGATGATGGGAGACACGAGATGCTGAGACACTAGGGACACAATGTCCCCATGTCTCCCAGCGTCCCAAGTGTCTCAGTGTTCCCATGTCTCCCAGTGTCCCCTAGTCTCCCAGTGATATGGGGACACTGGGAGACATAAGGACACAGACACTAGGGGACACTGGGAGACATAAGGACACAGACACTAGGGGACACTGGGAGACATAAGGACACATACTAGGGGACACAGGGAGACATGGGGCACTGAGACACTAGGACACAGACACTAGGGGACACAGACACAGACACGGAGGCTAGGGGAACACGGAGGCTAGGGGAACACTGGGCGGCATGGACACTGGGATACAGGGCCACACTGGGAGCAATCCATCTATACAGCAGCATCAAACCAAGTAGTTTTTTGATTTTACAGAAATTTCTCTTATGTCACTTGATTTACATTGTGTGATGTCACACATACATAATTATGCAAATCAGGCCAAGGCCAGTATTTTTTTCCAAGAAAGGTGGCAACCCTAACTACTTTTCACATACTCTTGCTTAAGTATGGAAACTTAAGAGGGATGTATGGGAACAAAACTTGTGTGGACTGGCTGACAAAATTAGTTTAGATAATGCTGAGTTTGGTCTCTCTAACACTGTGGCATGTCCCCTTTCTTCTACACTCACTACATCCACCTTTTCTCTGTCCCATACTGTATACCAGAAGCTTCTGCCTGCTAGTAAGAAGGCAAGGAGACAAGTGGACCAGTGAGTGCCAGGGGACAGTCCTTAGAAAGCATGGAGCGAGCGCATCATTTGATGCATTTATGTCAAGCAAGGGTGCTGCCTGCTAGCAAGGAGACAAGTGGAGTGAGTGCCAGGGGACAGTCCTTAGAAAGCATGGAGCGAGCGCATCATTTGATGCATTTATGTCAAGCTCAGGGTGCTGTCTGCATAGTATGCCCTTAGTTGGCCTGCTGCATGATTGGCAGGTAGCCTGACATGCATTCATGCCATGCTAGCCTTCCAATTCTTTGGGCAGACATGCCCCCTTTTTGGGCATGTTCACCCCTTTTGGCAGTTCTGGTCACGTGATTCGCGTCAGAGGCACACCCTTGTTATGGGCAAATGCAAATATTACAAGTTTTAGAATGAAATGTTGTATTTCTTAAACTGTGTACTTTGTCTTTAAGAGATATTGCAAACTGACAAGGTGTTAGAAATGGAACATATTGTTTTTCATAGATGTTTCTTTAAGCAATAACCTCAGTGCATAATATGTTTGCGCCATTTTGTCCCAGACGAATTACAATAACAATAATGCATAAACAAGCTTCAAGGCTATACTACGACTCTTGCAGTACACAATATACTGTGGTAACCCCAAGTTAATGGAACTTCCCCAAATCCGGGAATCTCCCACGACTGTACACTTACGACTTAGTATAAACAACAGATAACCTATTCAGACTTTAAGATGCCATCTTGAACTAAGTCAGGAAAATTTCCATGACGTATACACCCTTTAGTTATGGCCTTGTATGTTTGCCAAGTTAAGGGAGGTCCTAAAATAAATAAAGTAAAAGAAGTGTTACTTTTTCATATTTGAACTACGGTAACCTAAAATGGAGACACCTAAGGTATAAACAGGTGTACTTTTAAATGTTAAGACACAGAGGAGAGACTTGGAGACAGACGCTGCTCCATCTTAAAATGACAGAGAGGCTGACATGATGACATGTTCAGAAGGGTATGTTAACCTATTAATGATATTTGCAAGCATGTAATTTAATCTTATAAACTCTGCTATAATGGATTTTATATTTTTAATAATAAATATCCAAAAGACAATCTTGCTTCCAAGACAATCCTTATTTTATATTGTATTCTCAATTATTTATATATGTTAAATAGAGGATCTCTTACTAACTATATAAAATTATGGCTAAGATATCTGTATGGTTAGCCCTGCTAAGTTCTATGCTTTAAGACATTATAGTGGTAAATAAGGGAACCACATGCCAATTGACTTCCTGCTTCACTGGACACTGCTGTTAGGAGATAGAGAGTTACTTAAAAGATGAAATCATAAATTAGAGTGAGATTAGCATAGAAACATAGAAACATAGAATGTGACGGCAGATAAGAACCATTCGGCCCATCTAGTCTGCCCAATTTTCTAAATACTTTCATTAGTCCCTGGCCTTATCTTATAGTTAGGATAGCCTTATGCCTATCCCACACATGCTTAAACTCCTTTACCGTGTTAACCTCTACCACTTCAGCTGGAAGGCTATTCCATGCATCCACTACCCTCTCAGTAAAGTAATACTTCCTGATATTATTTTTAAACCTTTGTCCCTCTAATTTAAGACTATGTCCTCTTGTTGTGGTATTTTTTCTTCTTTTAAATATAGTCTCCTCCTTTACTGTGTTGATTCCCTTTATATATTTAAATGTTTCTATCATATCTCCCCTGTCTCGTCTTTCCTCCAAGCTATACATGTGTTTTCCTATTGCTGCATCATGTGAGCACCATCTCCATCCTCAAGCTTGGCATAAATGCATCTAATGATGCACTCACTCCACACTTTCTAAGGACTGTCCCCTATCACTCACATGTTCACTGGTCTCCTTACCTTCTTACTAGCAGGCAAAAGCTCCTGTTATACAGTCTGGGACATAGAAAAGGTGTATGTAGTGAGTGTATAAGAAAGGGAACATGCCCCAGAGTTAGAGAGACTGAAGCAGCAAGAGTATTTGCACAGTGCGCAAATTCAGCTTTACCTTAACCAATTTTATTGTCAGCCAGTCCACACAAGTTTTGTTTCCCTACATCCACATGTGAAGAGTAGTAAAAAAAAAAAATTTAAAAAAATTATATATATAATTTTTTTTTTCAATGGCCTATTCCATGGGCATGGGCCTGGAGCTGCAGCTCCATCAGCCCCTATGTTAATCCGGCCCTGAAATGCTGTGAGAGGGCTTATCTTTCTGTACTCCCGCACCTCCCACCTCTGTCAGTTCAGACATTGGCTTTCCATAAGATATAGAGCTCAATTTAAAATTCTGGACCTTGCTTACAAATTTCTTCATAACAATGCTCCTGTCTACCAATTTTCACTAATATACCAGAATGTCCCATCCAAGCCCATACGCTCTGCCAAAGACCTGTGTCTATCCTCTGTTCGGACTCGCACCGCTAATGTTCACCTTCAAGACTTCTCTAGGGCTGCACCATCCCTGTAGAACTTCCTTCCCTGTTCAGTTAGACTCTCACCCAGTCTTAATAAAAATAAAATCATAAATAATATCATTGATAATCCACTTCTTTAAGACATATCAATTAAACTTTACAAGAGATATAGAGATGGCGCTTAAGGATATATACAATGTAAGGTGCTGCTATACCCAAGTATATTGCCACCACATATACTTAAATATAAAGTATGAGAAAAATCAAAGGGTAAAAGTGCACACAAGAGGGTAGAGGTTGGTTACCTGTAATATAATATAACTGGTAACTGATTTACAAAGGATATATTACGAAGGATATGATTTACGAAGGATATATTCAATGATACATGGTACAGTCTACCTATGCAAAAATATAAACACATAACGGAACATAGTGTAATCTGTATATAATACACAATAATATTGAAGTTTTTGAGCTGAAACCACTTACACTTTTCTGAGCCATTTATAAGTTGGCTCTGAACTTAACACATTTATGTCACTTTCAAGGACATAGAAATTTCTTCCTCCTTTCCAATGGATCCGATTGTTGCAATAACCATCTAGTGGAGAGTTGAAATCAGGAGCCAGGAGTTTGTTAACAGCTTTACCATATCTACACTTCTCTAAACACCTTCTGGACTTCAATAATAAATCAAATTATAAATTTTATAAAAATTAAAAAAAAAGAAAACCCACATAGCTCATATCCAACCCCACTGAACACAATACACACACACACACACACACACACACACTGCCTCCACTATACACACGCACACAATGCATTCACTACACACACGGTATCCCCTACACAGACACTGCATTCACTACACTGCATAACATAATGGATGTGCATATGGATGGTGAGGAGGGAGACATTTCATCCTTGGACCAAAGCAGCACAATGCCTTGGGCTGGCGTCCTGCACAGAATTGACTTTAGCCAGCCTAGTACTCTAGTTCCAGGCTCCCGATGACACCCCAATGACGCTGGCTGAGGTGGAGGTACACCTGTGGCAGCAGAAAGGGGAAACTCAGTATGTGAAGCTTTTCTAAGCGATATGATGCACATACAGACTTCATGCACCATGACCACTTCATATCAATCTAGTAGTTATAGGGCGCAAAGTAACACTAAGAAAAACAATGACTGCTCCAAGATGGTAAAAGTCACACTTTTAGTGATATTTCAACTAAAGTATTTGGAGATTTACGTACGAAAAGGTTAGAATAATCGTTATGTTTTGCAAATCGTGAAATTCTTAACTTTCAAATAGAAAGCAAGTCAATTTTTCTGTGTTTTTATTTCTTCGTGATCTATAAAAATAAATGTGGTTTAACTTCTTAATAACCTCTACCAAAAGCAGGAAACCAGCCCGGCAGACATTATTTTAAAGTATTTTCTTTGGCTTTCCTAGCCGAACACAAACGATTGGGTGGAGTGCGTAACCTTCAAAGGGTAAAATACCTAGAGGACTGTGTTATATATGAGCAAAAATCCATTTAGTTTAAAGCAAAAATAGGCCAAGTTTATTTCTTAATACAATAATAAAAGTGAAAATCTATCTTTTAGCAAACTGGGTTCTCAGTTCCGACCTTGTTGAGCTATGTGTTGATTGCCACAAAATTAATTTTTTTTAAACATTTGCTTATTTGGTAGAAAGGAAAAAAGCCATTGTATTGCTGCTGTGCTCAGTCAGTCAATGGTTTCAGTACAGAGACATCCTGTACTTTACATGGAATTAAAATTAGAATTGTACTCGAATACTACCTCTACTTAAAATGTACATCTCCAAAGTGTGTCGGCAACATGGGGTTAGATCCGAACCTAAAATTGTACTGAATTGACTAGAGAATGGCATATTTTAGACCAAATTCACCTTGGTAATAAAATAGTTGACATGACCTTTTTTCTGTATTCTCTAAGCTTTCCTAATAACTAAATTATTCTGATCAAGTCTCCATCATTTTTGCTTTAGTGAATAATCAGGTCCGCATGGGTCCAAAGCAGTCAAAACCAAAACCAAAATATATAAATATATCTGCAAACTGTTTGGTACATACATTAAGGATCCAATTTATGCTTGTTATGTTTTGAAATCGTAGATACCCTGATGTCCTCGAATGAAAACTTGCAAGATGCTTTGCATTCTAAAGACTTCGGATTTTACCTTTTAGTTACCCCAATCTGCCTTAAAGAGTGTTTTCCCATTTTCTGTTTCACCATTAAGCTAATAAATACAGTAATGAACTTGAGGTTGGGTTTTTAAATACCTGTAGGTATATGCCAAAATCTTTCCTAAATAAATTTCTTTAGTATGTTTGGAGCAGTTTGACATAAATGTGCACTACAGAGGACAGTGAGCCAATTCATGTTTTTTCTTTGCCATTTTTCCACATTACATTACCTCACGATAGGTCTGTGCTGGCCAACAAGTGCGTCGGTCTGGAACCACAAGTGTGTCGGCAACATGGGGTTAGATCCGAACCTAAAATTGTACTGAATTGACTAGAGAATGGCATATTTTAGACCAAATTCACCTTGGTAATAAAATAGTTGACATGACCTTTTTTCTGTATTCTCTAAGCTTTCCTAATAACTAAATTATTCTGATCAAGTCTCCATCATTTTTGCTTTAGTGAATAATCAGGTCCGCATGGGTCCAAAGCAGTCAAAACCAAAACCAAAATATATAAATATATCTGCAAACTGTTTGGTACATACATTAAGGATCCAATTTATGCTTGTTATGTTTTGAAATCGTAGATACCCTGATGTCCTCGAATGAAAACTTGCAAGATGCTTTGCATTCTAAAGACTTCGGATTTTACCTTTTAGTTACCCCAATCTGCCTTAAAGAGTGTTTTCCCATTTTCTGTTTCACCATTAAGCTAATAAATACAGTAATGAACTTGAGGTTGGGTTTTTAAATACCTGTAGGTATATGCCAAAATCTTTCCTAAATAAATTTCTTTAGTATGTTTGGAGCAGTTTGACATAAATGTGCACTACAGAGGACAGTGAGCCAATTCATGTTTTTTCTTTGCCATTTTTCCACATTACATTACCTCACGATAGGTCTGTGCTGGCCAACAAGTGCGTCGGTCTGGAACCACAAGTGTGTCGGTCTGGAACCACAAGTGTGTCGGTCTGGAACCACGCATCTTAATGCCCTCCTCAATCGTTACAGTTACAAATCTTCTTTGAGGCTGCTGGACTTGTAATTACGATCTCCACCTGCTTTATCTAATGAGAAATACAAATGTGTAGCTACATTGTACTCAAAAACATTCATAATTGTTTCACATACAGAGGTTCTGTTACAGTTTCCAACCGAGAGATCTAAAACGGAGTTCAATCATTCTACATTCTCATGAATACATCAAAATAAATTATACATGGCACCACCTCTTTATTTTGAAGTAAAACAGACGGACCCTCTAATTAGACAACAGAAAAGTATCCTGATTAATCTAGAATGAGACATGAATGTTTTGGGCCCACATTGAGGAAAAACGTGGAACCGGAAAATTTAAAAGTATGCGGTCAAGAGCGATTCAACATGTTTATGTACATAAGTGTACATGCAGATATATTATATACCATTTTAGCTGTAAAAAGACTTAAATAAAAATCGACCATAAAAAAAGAGTTCCCCTTTTGAATATCAAGCAGACAAATTGTATTTAAAATTAAATCTGACGTTCACGAATGGGAGAATCATCGGGAATTCAAACTCAATTGCAAATTTAGGGCGAAAGAAGCCAAATGGAAAAAAAATCCCCCCATTCAGATAGGTTTCCAGTTTTGCTACTTTGGCCTTATATTTGAAATTCACTTGCCAACAATTCTCATCTTAGTAAATAGCCCAGTCAACTGGACCAAAATAGAAGAAATCTTGCATAGTAACCACATACCGTATTATCCTATAACTGCCTAGACAATCCAATATACAGTGAATGGTAAGATAAGGCAGCAGATTCATGGCGTATCTTTATAGTTATTGAACAAGTTGTACTGAATGCAATCAGCATGATCATGTGACCTCAAATGATAGACACGCGAGAATTGTTTCTAAAGTTATTG